TGTGGAAAACTTATGCTTAGTATTGATATTTAATATTTGTTAATAAATATTATATGTGTTAATATGGACATTACCTGATTTTTATTAATACATTCTCTAAGGAAACGAAATCCAAATAATCCCAATCCAACACCACCAAGAATTCTAAATCTTAAATAATAATTAACATACAGTATAATCGCATGACCGTTAAAGTTGTATATATACACTTACGATGATCCTACACCAATTACGGCCTCATAATTTTTCAGATTATAACAAGTTTAGCAGTGATGAGGTTAAGTGAAGTAAGTTTAGCTGTGTTGGCCGCTTTAAGTAGCAGTCTAGGCAATAAAATTGAAAATTTCGATAAAACACTTGACCTATTTAAAGATTTGCATGAAAAATCAGAAAAGAAGAAAAATCGCCACAATCGCCACCACATTGAATTTGTTGAAAATAAACAAAACTTGATTGCTGAATATGAATTGCTTGTGTACGAATTGGAGCATTTGAATCGGAGCTTTGATAAGGAAAAAATTTACTCAATGTAGTAATCATTAGTTTTTATTATGATTGTATATTATCTATCAATTTGTTTAGATAAAAAATTGGCTACTTGCTATAGTTAGTTACCTTGTAAATATAAGTTTTTAAGATGTAATGTTTTACTTTATAAAAACTAGCTTTGAATCTCTTTTGCTTTCTTTAATTTCTCATGTCTTTCAGCGCCAGGAAGTTATATTTCTTGTTTACTTTTAATCATGTCACTCTTGAATTGTTTCTATGGTTCTTGTTAAAGGAATTTTTGATAAATACAAAGTATCCAAGAAAAATAATTAATGCAAAATAAACAAAAAGATATTATCAAAAATATTGTCCGCAGAGGCAAAAGTCAAACTAAAATTAAAAATTATATGTCAAAACTAAATCAAAAGTCAAAAATCAAAATTAGTTTCAAGTCGTGGTGAAACCAGTGAGTTTTGCACAGTTGCGAAACCACAGTTTTGGAAACCAACCCTAATTCTAATTAATACGCCTGGGACCAACAAAATAAACTTGTGAAGAATTTCTTTGCTAATGGTATTGA